TGTACCTAGCTTTGGTTGATTTTAGAAATTAAATTTGCTATGATTGTCTGTCAAAATAATAAAAAGATAATCTGCGGGGGTTAATCCCCCCCCTCTCTTTTCAATAGTATTTCATCATCTTTATCAGTGCATGAGTTTCTGCAATTGTCATAGAGATGGTTTAGATGTCATCCGATGACAAAATACCAAACACTTTGTAATTTGGTTATTTTATCTTTTCAATGAAATGCTGCAGTGAATCATTGATTTGTATACCAATGATAATTTGACCCCATTATCACACTATGACTTAACTGTAAGCTGTACAACAAAATGGATTTATGGTCCATTCCTGACATATAATTTGAAACGTGCTTCACCTGTACACTGTTTCATTTGCAGATCTCTGGCATCTGGTGAATCAGTTCCTAAATTAAAGCTCTGATGTTTTTTTTTCTTCTTTTTTTTTTCATTTACTGCTAAATTCCAATTACCAACAAGTATATAAAGCCTGTTAAATTAGTTTTCTAAATGCAACTCAGGGGTTTCAAAGTTTCCCTACATCGCGCTTTATTGTCGAGTATTGAATAAAGACGCTCCGCTTTTATTGGCCCTTCCAGACACTATTAAAATAAAGAGACTAGAACGTTGACTTGGCAGAGCCAGAACACGTTTGGTTTGCACAAGCAACACAGTGAGACATACAAATATGAGCATAGAGAGCAGCATTGGGGGGGTTTCATTTTGGCAAAGTGAAGGAAGAGATTTACTGTCGCACTGTGCACTGCCTCGTAAATGTCCGTCTGGAAACATGGGCAAGAGAATAGAAGCGCTCGTAAATTCCCGCGGCAGAGGCTGATAGTTGCATCCAACCTGCATTGATCAGGAGGGCGAATGATTAAAACATGCATTAGATGAAGTAAGATCAGGCTTTGACATTGATCTAAACCCGAAGCCCAGTGCCGTCTTTATGGCCACAATCCATAGTCCAGTGCTCCACACGTGCTTTTTGTATGTGTTTGTGTGTGTGGGTCCATATGCTGCTGTGTTTCCCTCTCATTAAATAGCAGTCTGTTAAGGAAACAGGCCGAATCTAATTCAACTTAAACATTGTTTCCCATCAATAAATCTTGGCTTTACTCATACGGCTGACTTTATAAACACTGACACGCGGTTGGTTTCTCACTGCGCAGTCGAGGCCCGGCCCACGTTCATTAGCTGCTCGCAGACACCGTCACTATCCTCCTTCCTCTCTCTGGCTCAATCTCTCCATCTGGTCACCTGAATAATAAATCTTAGGGTAGTATTGTGACGTATGTGACAGGAGTGTATTAATCTCGTAATTAGAAAATGAAAAGGTGGCGCTAAATTTAGTCTGGCCTTTCTGCCTAACCGTGCCACCGCCTGCGCGTGCTCAATTCCCTGCTTTCCCCCACACCAGGTCTTTTTCCCTCCTCCCAGAAGCTGTCTCTGCCTTGTTATATTTATGCAGCTTCAACTTTATGTATTTTTTATACAATGCGCAATTTTTTTCAAAATGCATTAAAACATCTGCAGTCGGAATTTGTTTTCTTGTGGTAGCTGGAGCTATAATTATACTTTATAAAAGCTGCGTTGGCAAAGTGATTCCTGATTAACTAATCAAATCTGCCAGCACAGGTGGCAGAGTGCCTGCACCCACTCTGTCCTCTTTTAAACCAAATCAACCACATTCACGTCAGCACATTGTGCATTTTTAAACTTCTGAGTAGGACTCTGAAAGGATTGTATCATAATCACGGCAGATTAAAATAATGTTTAATTATGATCATTTTGTTTCTGAATAAAAAGTGATCTATATTTTAGTAGACAAATTATAATAACATAACAATATGTATATTTTTACTTTATTTCTTTTTTTTATGCCTCTTCTTTCCATCGTTACCAGCAACTCGGTACACGTCTCTCCTGTCTATCAAATCCAGCAAACACTTATAGACTGGGACTGGCAGGGTCCCCCGAGACCACCGCCGTCCCCTAGGGGCTCTCCGTGAGTGTGTGCGTGAGTGGGAAACTTAGAGTGAGAGCCGGAATGTGTGTTAGGAGGCATTAGCTTCTGATTGAGTTTTCAGAGAGCAACGTGGGGTGCGAAAGGCTCGACAATGGTCTAACAGAATTAGTAGCTTGTGATGAATGGTGTGTGAGAGCAGCACTGACAGCTCGCTTTCACAAACACACACTGCTGGGAGTGAGTGTGTGTTTGTGTGTGCGAGGGTGCATGTATGCCTCCATACTTCACCCACTGGTTCAAGGACTTTTTGTCCATGCAGAACGACGCTGGAATGAGCGGAGCAGTGCAGGACATGCATACTTACACACGTGCGTGGCATGTGTCTGTTTGAATGGGCTGAGCCAAGGGTTTGAAAAAAATGCTTTGCAGCTGGGATCAATAAAGATTGGTGTATTCAGAATAGCGAGCGCAGCAGCACTCATGCATATGCACACAATGATGAATAAGAAAAATAGATATTCATAGCTTTTGTTGAGCATCTCCGACTCAATAAAAACTTTGTTGGACCAGAGCTGATATTGCAGCAAAGACCGAAAGGACACACTAACGCAGACGTACACACACAAGCAGGTAGACGAGCGGGCAAGTGCGTGCACACACAGATGCAGAGGAGCAGTGTTTAATAAAAGCTCTGGGATATTGATCTCAGTAGATGGATGCTAACTCACATTAAAGGGAGGGAGTCTGGAGTGATAGAGAGAAGAGGGGAAGAAGAGGGAAACATAAACGGTGAATAAATGGAGAGGGAGAGATGAGGGGCGTGCAGCATTCATAAGACGTGTTATTGTGTGTACTCGGCGGTGTAAGCAGGCCGCAGTGGTTGCCTTCGCAGCGAGGGCACACCCATACAGACGGCATTACTGTCAGGTAAAAGAGTCACAGGAGCGGTGAAATATTGCCGGCATTGGACTTGTAACTAGCTGACGACTGTGCTTCCCTCTTAATAGGGGATTTAGTGAGCCGTAATGGCCTCTCATGCCACCTTCACACCTGCCTCACAAAGGGAGGGAGCGGGAGAAGGAGCACAGAGAGCAAATTGAGAATTCTCCAGCCAATTATGAGTGATCATAACGGTCAGCGCTTTGCCTCCTAATGAAGGTTGGAGGCACAAGACTGGGAGGAAGAATGAGGAGGGAAAAAAGGTCTTGATTGGAGGGTAGAAGACCAAAGTCCTGTTTGTTATTTTATCCTTTGTTACTACAGTCAAAGCCGTTTTTCCCATCCTGTTTTCAGTTTTTCTTGTCACCCACTCATTCTTCCCGTCTTGATTTGTCATAATCTTGTATTTTTTGTTTGTTTCTTTTCCCCTACTTTTTTCTTTCTTTCCTGCATTTCTTCTCCATTCCTCCAGCTTACCTAGATGATGATGAGGAGGATGCGGATCCATTTGGAGACTATGTGATCAGTAAGTCATGTCTGACTGTAGCTTTATTGTTTGGCTTATTTGCTTGTACTGTACGTGATTGTGTTTGATGTGCTTTTGGGCCCTTTTGTATGTGCGTGATTTACTGTTTTGTCTACTAGGCGATGGTTTTTATGAAAGAGGCTGTCTCACACAATGTATAATCCTCTGACTGGGCCCCGGCTCAGTCGACAACATTATCTCTGAAAGGCTCGCTCTTTTTTTTTATAAGTATGATTGTACATATTATTGTAATTGTTTGCGGTATTCTCATCTCCGGAGAAACATTATATCTTGTGCGGGCCTGATGATAAAAGTTGATTTAGCGTCAGGAGAAAAAGGGGCCCGAAAAAATATCTGGTTGCTGTACATTACTCTTGTGTTTCATCTGATACATGGCAAGGCCATTGTTCTTTTTCACATGGCTCATCTACATTTACGAGCTCCTTTCATTATGATCTCCTTTTCATTAGCACACGTCCAACTGGTTAATCTCTTTGCACTTGATCAGAGAAAATTTCCCAGAGGGCGCCTTTTTTTCCCCCACCCTCCTCCATTACTGGAAATTCCGCCGTATTTACTTGTGTCTTGGAGATTGTTTGTCTCTATGAGTGTGAATTAGTGTTAATGTTTGTGGTATTGGGCTGCGGAGTTTTCATCTGTTTTCATTAGTAAGATCAGAATGGTTGGAGTGAGTGTGTGAAGAAAGGAAAATATATTAGTGTGTATGTCAGCAACGTGAAGGTTATTTTTTGTACACCTGAAGCTTTGATTAAGAGGATTTTTTTTTTCAAATTATACATATGTTAGAATTTAAACTTAAGGTTGTGGCCTTTCAGCGAACAGAAAGGATGACATTCATGCACCTGTTAGCAACACGCTGAGGAGATAATGGTGCGCGGGATGTTTGCTTGGAAACATGCAAAGGTTAATCTTCTTAAAACACTTTTGAATTGATAGACAGAAGCATTACGGCACAGTTACAGGGACAAGCATTCATGGTGGGTGAACTCACACATACATAGCAGATAATGTACAGAAATACAAGAGTTAATTGAACACTTCTACATTTATTCCGACCTAAACATGCATGTTATATAAATCATTATGTATAATAATGCTGACATTTTCTGAGTGTAATCACTCTTAATATAAATTTGCAGACTTTTCTTTTCTGGATGAATTAAAACTACTAATATGGGGCAAAGTTATTACAGCTAATATTTACTGGTTTTAATTTCCCTCAATGCCTTATACTTTTATTACTTTCTGTCTGTGGCAAC